TATATTTGCCTTACTTTCTTCATCTTCAAATTTCAACTTTGAATTTAATTTTAATTATTAAACATGTCTCTTGCTTTAATCTATTTTCACTTAATGTTTTTATCACAAAAACATCTTTGAAAGGCTATACACTAAATTTAATTTATCAATTATGAATATATATTACTGGTGTAATCAAGATTCTGTAATTTAGCAGTTTTCCCTCCTTTTTTCCCATTAACTTTCAAGTTTCTGTAAAAAGAAAATTCTCTTGCCACTGGTGCACCTACCAGCTTGGGAGGCTGAGGCAGGAGGATCACAAGTAGGTGCTAAGAAATTCAGTGAGACCCTGTCTCTAAATAAAATACAAAATAGGGCTCAGTTGTCGAGTGCCCCAGAGTTCAATTCCCACCTACCCCCACCCCCCAAAAAAAAGAAGAAGAAGAAGAAGAAGAAGAAGAAGAAGAAGAAGAAGAAGAAGAAGAAAGAAAGAAAGAAAGGAAATCCTCTTGTGTATGTTTCAGAGCATGGTCCAAGAGCAGAGGTAAATCTTGGCAAATTTGATAAAATATTCCTAGCTACATCTAGATCATAGGTGAACATGACAACAGACAATAAATGTTAACCAGTAGATAATAGTGGAATTTACATTTTCCTGTTGGAATTAGTAAGCATTCTAATTTGCATAGCTTGAAAATAATAATACATCACTAACACTGATGAAGCAAGTAACTGAGCCAGGCACTGGAAATGGAATACTTCCCAACCTTGGGATGAAGTCAGGAGTAATATCTCACCTAAGGGAACTTTCTCAATTGAAAGTTGACTAATTTTAAGTATTAATTCTTTGTACTGGCTGAATGTGCAAAGGGAATTATATAATGCAATATACTTATTCAAGCCTGAATAATACCCCCAAAACTTTGCTTATTTTAATATTAGATCAAATGAAAATTAATATTTTTTTTAAAACTCAGAAAAATTTAATAACAGATGTATTAAACCAATCCATACTTGGTATAGGTTAGACAGAGATAATGTGAAACAACTAATTAACTGTATTTAACTGACCTTTATACAATTTCCTCCCAAATGCTTCTCCAGTGTCAGACTCTCTAGGGTCAACCATTGCTCATTCATAGGATGTCTAGAGAAACTTTGTTAAAAAAAAAAAAGTCACTTTTTTTTTCCTGCTCTGCAAGTGCATTTTTTCCCGAAAGCCCTCCTCTTTCCCTTACTATTATTGTGTAGATCCGGAATATCTTCCCAAATTCATTATGTTGGAAGCATGATCTCCAATGTAGCAAGGATTAATCCAACAAGTGGATTAATCCATTGACAGATGAATAAATTACTGGGAGGAAGGACCTACTTGGAGTCACTTAGGGCATGACATTGGGCTTTATCTGTCCTTAACTACTTCCTCTGTCTGTGGCCTGGCTGTCAGAAGCTAAGCAGCCTTCCTTCACCATGACCTTCCGCCATATACTGAATCCTCCGAAACCATAAGCTTTGGCTTATGACAAGATATATGAGTTGCTCTTCTCATATGTATTGTGCATAGTGATGCAAAGAAAACTACACACTCTCTGAAGCACTGACACCTGAATCCAAAGAGTTAACTAGTGCTGAATCAAAAGAACAGGCACCCATAGTAACGAAGAGTTAATTCTCCTCTTCTGTCTGCTCACATTCTCACTCCACCTGAAGGGGCTTCAGCTACTGCCCTCTATAGGACAATTCAGATATATTCCAATTTAATTACTTTCATGCACTATTTACCATGGTGCTCCCTAAAGTCTAAATTTAGCATTATTTTTTCTTACAAGCATTTATCAGGCCTCTGTAATTTCTTTAATTTTTATTTTTGTAGAGCCTTAGATTTTAATATTCAAGAGTCATGATTTTACATACTTTGGCACTTTCCTAAGGAAATGACTAGAAGTAGAAGAGCCATGGGCAAAAATGGCTGTCCAAGTTTTCCTTCTCCATCTGTAGGACAAATAGTGATTTCCACTTCAGGAGGCTGTCAAGGTAAAAGTGTATATAACCTGATTTTAAGCGTGCTGCACAGTACCTAGAATTCAGCAAATACTCGTTCAATTTCTTGCACTATCAGCAAATTAATACAAATTCAGATTATTTGAAGGACCTGTGTTGTTTTCATCACTAAATGTTGCTATTGCACATTAAGTTTCCAATCTGTTTCTAGTTTTAGTTGTAAGATTTTAATGGATTATAGAAGGAGAGTTAATGTTGTCCCTGTCACCATTAGGTGTTCTAGTAAACAAAAGAACCACTATCAAGAAACCAAAATGAGTCTATATTCTGCCATTCTAGTCAAATGGAACCTTTAATAAAAAAGCATTACTGTAGTAATTATTACACTATAAAAGTTAGTGTGTTTGAATGGACAAGAAGTGCAAAATATAATTAAAATGGAGAATTCATGGCAGTCTTGTCAGGGAATATGCTGACATCTTCTGAAGGACATCTTGGGGGAATCCTCCCCTGGAATGATGGCCTGGCTCAAGGACTGTGGTGTGGAAAAATGGAAAGTGTAACCCACAAGTTCATGAGTGTGGGATGTGGGTAGCAGTGAGGAAGGGAATGACTATGGAATCTGGACAGATTATGTGTTATAAATTGATGTAAGTAAGATAAAGACAGAATGATCAGGAAGTGAAACAGCATTCATAAAGCATTGCACAGTGGCCTAAAGACTTCAAGTGCAATATTATGGATTCAAAGCCAGGAGGAGAAAAATCACAGCAGAGGTCAAATCTAGCAGTGAGTGCCAGGACTTGGATCTGGGAGACCACTAGGAGGCCAGGGTAGCAACCCAGGTGTGTATAGGTGAGGATTAATGCCAGAGTGTCAAAATTTAAAGTGAAAATGTGAAATAGTATAAAATCATTCAGATCTAGCCTAAGAATTATGATTTCCTTCGGTAATATTCGAAAGGTAGAGTTTATACTAAAAGATGGTAAAAAGTCTTTAGACTTCTCAGCAAGGTTCCAAAAAAAAAAAAAAAAAAAAAACAATTTCAGTTTTTATTTGGTTGTCTTTAATAAAAGATAAGCAGTAAATGTCCTTGTTTCCTAGGAAATATCCCTTCCTTTAAAAAAAAAAAAACAAGTTAAATCACATGGCATGGAAAAATTGGGTAATTCAATATTAATTAGGATACTTCCACTCTAAAGATAAACCTTATGGTTTAACATAATTTAGTTTGAAATATTATTTTATTTTCATTTTGAAATTATCAGTGTAAAGAAGGATGATATGTGTGGCATTATATGGAAAATAATATATTCAATAGTTAAAGTATTTTATTACTTCTATCAAGAATTTTATGTAATATTTTGAACAACTAATAAAAAAAGAATTTTATGGTTATGAAAGGAAATATGCATCCATGTTATTTGGCTGTGGTTTTATGTACATTGCAGTGAATTTATATTAATGAAAATAAAAGAGCTGTTATCAGTTTGTATAAGGGTAGGGGCAGTTTGTATAATTTTTTCTTAGATTATGAGGAACGTGAAAGGCATGTGAATATGGTTTGTAATATGTACCTGTTGATTGTTTTCCAAAGCACATCCTATGTATTTGGGGTCAGAATGCAGCATCAGTCATTTATGTAATTGAAAAATTGCTTTTTCTTTGATGCTGTTACCTGATAATCTGAAAGAATTTTTCTTCAAAAAGAACAATTAAGGACTATAAGAAAAATAATCTTCCTTAGAGAATATTTTTGTTTTTATTATTTTACTTTGTCTTGAATATGTCCAATTCTTCATTCATAAAAACAGTTTAATTTTTGTTATTTATTGAGACATCAGTGGATTGATATTCCATTTTAAAAATCAGTGATTTTCTTCAATCTTAAGTCATTACACTTGAGATTTAGATAATTAAGATCCTGAAATCTTTTTGATCCTTTTATTCTTAAGGCATACTTTTTTTTTAATTTTAAAATTTACTTTGAGGACATTTTTATTTTCATGTTTGGGGAAATTTTATAAAATTGCTGCTTAACTGAACTATTACAAGCAGGAAGGATAGAAATTGCTAATTATTCACCTTTCAATAACCATGAAGTCTTGTACTTCTAGAGCATAGAGCGCATTCAACATCAATAAAGAAAAAGAAACATAGCAGTATTATTTCTTGCTTTAAGCATTTGTTCAAAAATTATGCATTAAGATGATGTGCAAAAAAATATACAGAATATCCAAGATAATTAAGGAAATTTGTCTTTATTGGCTCTATAGGTGGATGTCAGGCATGGCTGTGAAACTGGTAGTAGAGCCAAGATAGCTTACATGAAGTTGGAAAACATGGGGTTTGTTCTACCTTCAGTGACAATGAGATTAGGAGTGGAAAGCAACTTCCTTGAAATGCATCAGAGTGAACAGCAAGTGTAGCTGACAGTGGATACCCAGGGGACTGTGGAGAGGAGCGGCAGGCTTTGAAATGAGAGATGCCAGGCCACAACCCCAAACTACTCTCTTGGTATCTATAGGGGATTCATCCCAAGACCACAGCATATAAAAAATCCAGGGATGCTCAAGTCCTAGACACAAAATAGCATAAAATCTTCATATAACCTATGAATCTCCTCCCACATATTTTAAATCATCTAGATTTCTTATAATACCTCATACAATGCACATGTCCTGTTAGTAGTTTATCATCTTCTTTAGGGAACAATGACAAGAAAAAAAGTTTGCATGAGTTCTGTACATCAGCAATATATATATATATATATATATATATATATATATATATATATATATATATATTTTTTTTTTTTTTTTTTCAAATACTTTCAACTACATTTGAGGTTGGTTGAATCTGGGATGCAGAACCTTCAGATGTGGAGAGCCAAACTGCATTCTATGAAAAGAAAATGCCGCTAATCATGTAAAACTAAAATTTGTGTTTCATGCTACTGCATTTTATCATCTAACCTAAAATAGATTTAAGTATAAGTTGTCTTTGTATTTGTTGTGTAGTTAGACGTATATTTGCTATCTTATACAGTGAAGTTTAGCAACTGCAATGGAAAAAGAAAAGTACAGTATGAAAGCATCGAGCCTGCAGATTTCAAGGTGGATGAAGATGGCATGGTCTATGCCGTGAGAAGCTTTCCACTCTCTTCTGAGCATGATAAATTCCTGATATATGCCCAAGACAAGGAGACCCAAGAGAAGTGGCAAGTGGCAGTAAAGCTGAGTCTCAAGCCAACCTTAACCCAGGAGCTGGCAAAGGTATAATATTGGAGCTGATGTCTACAAAACAAAAATTAATACAGTTAACAAAAAGTGTTGTGTGTGTGTACACATTTTGCTTCATATCACATGAAATAGATGGCCAGTACTTGATTTTTTTTTATAAACTGCAGTTACTTTACCAGTATTTTTAATCTTTTAAATTCTTAGACAAGTATATTTTAAGTGAACAGAAATTATATTTGAAAGATTTGTTTATACTTTGAGATTATAATTTAATTAAAATTAGAAGTAGTTTGTTTTGCATCTTAGAAGCTTTATAAGCTGTTAAATATAACCACAAAATAAAAATTCCTTTGCATGTCATTACCAGTCAAATTTATTAGATGGGAAATACAGATTTACAGTAGTAACAGAAAAGCATTTCTGGCAATGAGTGTTAGGATCTGTTTTGTCTCTTAATAATCAAATTGGGAGTGTGAATTATTTATACTACTGATATGACTTTTAGGAATGATATACTCCCTCTGGCTGAAGCTGCTGTGAGCTACATTTCCAAGAGAGTACTGTTCAATTCAGTTCAGAAACATTTATTGAGCACTTACTTTGTATAAGTCACTATATTAAGTACTTTGAACAAGATACAATAAATTCTTTAGTAAAGTTATGATAATATTATTTTCAGACTATTCTAGTTCTTTGATTTAATTAAAAACAATTACTAAGGGAGCACACCCATATATTCTAAAGTTCATGGTTTGATGAACTGTGACTATATTACATTTTGCACATTTATTGTACTGTGAGAGACAAGAATATACAAAATCAGTTCTGGTATTTAATTGTAAATGTGATATACACAACCATAATCAAATGAGAATGAATATATGTAAGAAAAATGTCATTTTTTTCTTGTGCTATTTGTTGAGATTTCATTATGTGAAATTTTAATTAATCAATTAACTTTTAAAGGTAAACATATCATTTGCATAATATAAAATAAGAACATGGTGACTAATGGAGTAAAAAGATACTTTTATTGTTTTTGATGCTCTGTGTCCTAACAAACTAACTTGAGTATTTGCACTGAAGCAGGAAGGGCTAATGGCTAAAATGTCTACAGCTATTGGGAGAAAAAGAAGAAAATGTTGACATCTAGCAAAGATTAATACCTAGTGTGCAAAGTGGGTCATTTCCAGCATCCATCATGGCTGACATAGGTTTAGAATAATTACAGCATTAATTCTGTGGGATTTAATAGGGTCATAAATATTTGAGACATTCCTTAGCAGTATGTATTAAACTTCCTTTGGAATTCAAATTATATTTTAGCACATCAAGATCTAAATTTAATGTACAGTAGCACATTACCTGAACTGTGGTTTAAACTAATGAGAAATATATAAAAGGGTACTATTAAATTTTGCTCAGTACTAAGCTACTATCTAAGATGGTTTATAGAAACTGCAAATAGTTTACACACCTGAGCCCAATAATAAATTGTTCAGAATTCAATGTTTCAGTGAACAGTGCAATTCATAAATTTTATGCTGTTGGTTTTCTATTATATTAATAAGGGGATAAGGAAAGGGCCTCCAGAGTTATTTTCTGTTCATAATAAACTGTGGTTCCTACACTTTCAGGTACCCATTAATATTGATGTTCTTTCAGAAAATGTTTTTCCTAGTACTCAGGAATATCTTGTTATATTTTAATGCAAAGGAGTCCCATGAAATTGAAGAGATAGTATTCCCAAGACAATCCACCAAACACAGTGGATACCTACAAAGGCAGAAGAGAGACTGGGTCATCCCTCCCACCAACTTGCCAGAAAATTCCAGAGGACCTTTTCCTCAAGAGCTTGTCGGGGTAAGATGGTGCAATTTTAATTACTCCCATGGCATGTGGTAATTATCTGTTAGAAAAGTTTTTGTGTTTTTTTTCCAAAGTAAAGTTTATGAGTTTATGACATCTGTATGGAAAACATTTTTTTTTCTGTAGCTAGGTTTTCTATAACACTGTAGAAACCTATTATTGTTTTCCTTGGTTATCTCTTGCACTATTTGTAGGCAGCCCCCACTGTGGTCCTGGATGCTGTGGATGTAATGCTTGTTCCATACGTGAATACTAAGGCTATGTGCATCTCCACGCACTCCTCACCCACTCTCAGTACAGACCCTGGAGCTGCCTTGCTGGGAGCTGGGCTCTCTGCTTCGGGGCCAAAGGAAAAAAAAGGTGGGGGGGAATCACTGCTAAAAATGCCAGCACCAAGTGCATTTGAAAGTTTTTAAAAGGAAAAAAATGACCTCTGATACCATTATCAGAATCCCTAGGGCAGTGTAAAACCAAAGGCTTTCAAATCTGAAGTTAGTTTTTTTTTTTTTTTTTTTTTTGGTTACCCTTCACATGAAGAAATTAAAAATACGGATTTTTTGCATGTTTAGTAAAATTGTCAGCCCATTATTCATGACAAAAGGAAAATAAGACAAAAATCATTATATTTCCATCTGTTAAAATGTAAATGTTCTTATGGATGATTATTTGAGCACGTGGACTCACATTTATTGAGAGATGTGGGTTTTTTAATAAACCACTTATTTGTGTTGTATATTCTGTCCTTTGTACATTGTAATTCAGTTTACCAATGAGCATGACCCCAAAACAAAGGTGCTATTTTTTTCTATTTCAGTGGAATATGAGAAAATAGAGAATGATGCTTTAACTTTTAATAAAAACACAATCAGATTTTACTAATGAATTTAGTTTATTTATCCAACACATAAAGATCTATTATTATTACCTCTAAATGGTATTTCCCAGTCAGCCCTTTTTATGCCTGCCTGCCTTCTTCTCTGTCCAGAGATTCTCTTCAGCCTCCAAAGGCTACTCATATATTGACTTAATTTTTCTGAGAACCATTGTATTTGGAGGAGAAGGAAATGTGCTTATAGTGGCTATACAGTTTGGGAGTATAAAAATATCTCTTGAGATCCTTTCTCATAAGCTCCTTATTAATAAAGAATTATAGTATTAGTTGCCTTTTTAAAATGATATGGAAAGCTTTCTTGCAATGAAGAGTCTTTGTGCAAAGCAAGTAAAAAATATTATGTCCAGGCTCCACCATGTTGGAGTTCTGTGAAAGCATATTTCACACTATGAATAGATAATTACTGCTTACTGTAACTGATGAAAAAAGGTAAACAGCTTTTATTTCAATTAACTTGGACAATTGTTACTATGTTAAACAGTCTAGCCCAGAGTTTCTGTCTAAAAACTGACACTCCTAAATTTTGACTTTTTGCACTACTCCTAGTGAGCATTCTTTTAAAGGTGAACATTGCCCCCAGTCTTTCTGGGTTAGGTGACATCTCTTTTTGAAGGCTGTTACCAAGAAGCAGAGAGGAGGGGCAGGCACTGAGGAAGTTTCAGTGGCATTCTGGAAAGAGAAGGAGCAAGTTTGTAACAGAACAAGGGTAGGAAGTGTGGCATGTGCTATCTCTGATAATGAGCTCAGTTAGTCTCTCATTTAATGTCATTGTTTTCTTGGTCTTCAGATCAGGTCTGATAGGGACAAAAACCTGTCACTGCAGTACAGTGTCACTAGGCCTGGAGCTGACCAACCTCCTACTGGCATCTTCATTATCAACCACATCTCAGGTCAGCTGTCAGTGACAAAGCCTCTGGATTGTGAGCTGATAGCCCGATTTCATGTAAAATTGCAACCAGCTGATAAATCTATGAGTTCATACTCTTCTAAATGTGTGTGGAATTTGTCATTGCCTCATATGAGTCTGAAAGCCTGGATACTGAGAGTTTCAACACCAGAAATGAAATTTGTAGTTTCTTGTCTTATTTTGAGGATTCTAATGTCTTTATAAAATTTATTAGTGCTCTTGGTAAAAAACAAAACAATGCCAAAAAAAGGAAAATTGCTCCAATTCTCATTACTCTTTACATTTTATTACTTGCCTTCAGTTATATGGTTAAGAAAACCTATAAGAGCAAATTATGAATGGGGTCAAAACCATTGAACATAAAATACAGAGATCAAACCATTGTTCATGGATACATAGAAGTATAATCAAAGTGAATCCCATATTCTTATTTTCTGTTAAATGTTCTTCTGATTTTTTTTTCTCATTTTATTACTCAGAACCTTTTATCAATGAAAGATGTTAATGCATGGTTTGTTCTACATGTTCTTTTTTGTTTGTTTGTTTGTTTGCTTCTAAAACCCTTTCTGTTTATGCCATAATATAACATAGCTTTTAATATTGTAAAATTCATTTTTGAAAACATGTTATAATACCTTCTGGTTTCCAGAGGTATTCATAAAGGCCTTCCTCCTCCAAGATGCTTATCTCCCATTTTTTATCTGTTGGATTAACTTTTTACATTTAAATTTTTAATCTCTGTGGATTTATTTTAATAAAAGGAGTGAGGGCTACAGGTGCACTTTTCTTTGCCTTTGTGGCTAGCCTGTTTTCCCAATACCATGTGTTGAATTAATTCCCACAGTGGTTTAAAACCTTCCTCCCACATAAGCATGTGCTTACAAAGGTTTTGTTTTGTTCACTTATACAATTGTTGAACTCTTGGACTTGCTCAAAGCTTTAAAATTATAGGAATTTCTAAACTACAGTATATTCCCCTAGATCTAAACAGACAAATAAGCATATGAAAAATTGAAAATGTTTTAGGATCAATATTACTCTGTATTTTCTCTTCAATACTTTGATTATTTTATCAGCCCATTCTTTTAAAACTCTTGAGGGAACAGTTTATTCTAATGCTGTTTATATTGTCCTAAAACACAGAGAAAGATATACAACTTCAAACTTTTCACAAGGACTGCATAGCATTCCTAGGGAATGTGGATTAAGAAAGCACATAATAGAGCTGGGCACTGTGGAGTATGCCTGTAATCCCAGGGGCTCAGGAGGATGAAGCAGGTGGATCCCAAGGTCAAAGCTAGCATCAGTAACTTAGCAAGGCCCTAAGGAACTTGGCGAGATCCTGTCTTAAAATGAAAAATAAAAAATGCTGGGGAAGTGAGGATGTGGGTCAGGGGTTAAGTGCCCCTGGATTCAGCCCCAATACAAAAAAAAAAAATCACATATAATAAAAGATTGTGGACTAGTCCGATTTGTGATTATTAAGATTGATACAAAAAATATTTCCGATCTTTTTCTCTGTGAATTCTCACTTCCTAATCTTCTGTCATTAAAATTTAGAAAATATATACATCCAGGTCTGTTTCACGGTAAATTATTGTTCTTTCAGTGCTCGCTTCTTGCATATTAAAAGAGCAATACTCATAGCAAAATAGAGTTTATTATAGAATTATAAGTATTAAGAATAAGTAACTTAGTGAGGCCCTGTCTGAAAATTAAAAAGGATGCGACTCAATGTTTAAGCACCCTTTATTTCAATCCCTGGTACCAAAAGAAAAAAAAGGATCAGTATTAATATTTTACATAATTATAAATGTAATTAAAGTTCAGTATTAAAAATCTGTTAAGGGGAAAATAAGTCAAGGGAAAATTATATCTATATAATATTGAAATTCAGTAATAAAATTTAGGTTGTTTTCTGTGTTTAATATCCTCTAAATAAAGAGAGGCTGTGTTGATGCTTCTTTAACTTAAAGAACATATCTGATAGAAGCCAACAGCCAGTATCAGACCAGCATTCCAGTTAAAAAGAAACAGTTCCATGCCAGGAGGAGTAGTTCAAGCCTGTAATCCCAGCAGCTCTGGAGGCTAAAGCAGGAGGATTCAGAGTTCAAAGCCAGCCCCAGCAACAGCCAGGTACTAAGCAACTCAGTGAGACCCTGTCTCTAAATAAAATACAAAATAAGGCTGGGGATGTGGCTCAGTAGTCAAGTGCTCACCCACCCAAAAAAGAAATGGAATGCCTCTCTTTGTGCAAAATTGATTGAAAGATTTTGAAGATATTCTACAAAGAGTAGCTGATTGATTATACTTGCTTTTAAGAAAAGACATACAGATATTTTTGAAAAATACCTATAAAACTATGAGCTAACCATAAATACATATATTCACATATTTTAATATGTATGAGTTACTTTAAAACTGAAAAACAGTAAAAGCTTAGTATGAAAATTTCCTATGTACACTCACTTTCTATACTCCTGTTCCCTTGGTCTTTACGAGCACTCTTTGGTGGTACTGTATCTACCCTTACCCTGATTATTATCATATATACTGGTTCAACAAAAGGATTTTGGAGCTGGCAGAATTGACATTGGATCCAGATTCTGTCAACAGACAGAGGATTGTGGCTGCCACAAGTTACCTAGCATTTCTGAAGCTCAGTGCCCCCAACTTCAAATGTTGACAGTTTCTGGCTCACTATTTTACATATTGATTTAAATCATTTAAAATGGATTAGCACAATGTCTAACATAAGGTAAAGGATGGCTTTTTGCTGCTGTATCTACTGTAGTTATATGGAGTCAGGTTGACTACAATTTTTTTTTTTTAAAGAGAGAGAGAGAATTTTTTAATATTTATTTTTTAGTTTTTGGTGGACACAGCATCTTTATTTTATTTTTTTATGTGGTGCTGAGAATCAAACCCAGTGCCCCACACATGCCAGGCAAGTGCGCTACCACTTGAGCCATATCCCTAGCTCCTGAATACATTTTTTTTTTAAAGAAAGAATAGCTTCTGTTTTTCCATTAGCTATTTTCCAATAGCTTCTGTCAGTACATTCTTGCTATGTTAGTAGCATTGTGATTGTGTAATATGTGTTCTCATGGACAAATATGTTAAGTACATTTGTTTTCAATTACTTTGGCAGTCGAGGGCACATGTAGTAGATATTAATGGCAACCAAGTGGAGAACCCCATTGACATTGTCATCAATGTTATTGACATGAATGATAACAGACCTGAGTTTTTGCACCAGGTGTGGAATGGGACCATTCCTGAGGGATCAAAGCCTGGTAAGTTTGAAGATAAAAATTTGAAGATGGTTTCAGGAAATGCTATATAACCAGCACTATCATATAAGCAAGAAAAGGAGAAATCACACGAGCCTTTTAGTGTCATTTTCTTTCATTCATATGCTTTTAGGTAACATGGGAAAAAATTGTAGGATGAAAATGGAAAAAAATATGCCTCTTACTGCCCACATGACAATTTTTTTTTCTCTTTGGAAACAATATATACTACAGTTTTAGATTCTGCTACTATATAGAATTTCTGGGAGCCTTTCATTGTGCTACAGTTGATGCAGTTAGAGCAACTTGAAAGTGAGCCCTGGAAGAGGCTTTCTGCTTGTAAAGTGCAAATTCTACCATAAAAAACAGTCACCAACATACCCAACCAGAAATCCTCAGAACTGCTTGGTATATTCTTGGGACCAGGTGGTGAAGTAACACCCCAAGCAGGGCATGGACATAGTTACAGCTGTGACTGCCCCCTAGCTATACTAGCTATTTATTTCCAGGGTACCCTAATGTCCTCTGCAGACCTCTCTTTCCAACTAGCATAATAGAAAATGTCCTGGCTTAGATACAGACCTTGCTGGAAGCCCTTTCACCATTGGAAATTGGTATTTGATGAAGCTTTTAGATTCTTGTACTGAAAACACTGAAGACTCAGTTACAGCAGAATAGCCAGGCCAGAAAGACCTATTCAGTCTGAAAAATGAGTGGACAAGATGGTAAGCTGGTATTATGAAGGTAAGTGTTGGGCCAGTCTTCCTGAGCCATTTTGGTGTTTGAAGAGATTTAAAAGCTATATTTTTTTATTTTATAAAACTTCATTTAAAACTCTGTTCCATAATAAGTTGGTCATCCATACAAGTTTATAGCATTTTGTCATAGTCCAAATGCAATTCTCTGTGTCCTCAGAAAAGAAATGGGAGGGGGGGGCACCTGGAGGGAAAAAGGGTCTAGACAGGAGAACCCATCATCAGTGGCTCCTTCTAAGTCACATAGTCTGAGTAACTTTCTTTGGTATTTTCAAATACAGAATAATTGAATCATGTTAAACACATCCTTACTCAAACATGTCTTATACACATATACCAAAAATAGAAAAACCTTGGGCTTTTTTGGCTGCAGAAATTTTGTTCTTAAAAATCATTTTCTTTTTTTCTTGTAATACTTCAAACTTGATAAAATATACTGCCTCACCTAGATTACTAAAAATAAGTCATTGGAACTGCATGTATTATGCATTTGACCATGAATTTCCACTTAAGCCTTCCATAAATAAAGACTAGGTAGTCACTGCAAGCAAAGACATTTCATGAGTGTGTTTCCTGTGGTCTCTCTGCCGTTTGAAAACATCCTACTAGGCCAGGTTTGATACTGTGATGACTCTTGAGTCAAACTATGTTTTTAATCAGTATTTGGGCTCAAGGTTATGAAACATACTGTTGTAAATTTTTTTAACCATCCCTCCGCTCATTCATTCAACACGTGTTTTTAAAGTAAGTGCTATGTGCCAGGCTCTGTTCTGGCTCTGTGAATACCATGGTGATAAGCAAGTTCCTTTAAGCAAGTAGGAGCTTAAAGCCCAATAAGGGAGCAAAATTTAGAGAAGGCAACAGGCAAAAGTGCTATTAAGTTTTGAGGGGAAAAAAATTAAGTTTAAAGAGATGGTACATAATCAAAAAGGATATCTTGTTTAGAGAGACAAGCTCAGAAAAGAGATTGAAATACTGTGACTAAGGCATGGTTAATTCTGGGTGAACATATACCACATGGTCAGGAGAATAAGGGTAGAATTTTCTCTATTTCTAAAGTAGAACCAAGCTTAGAGTACCCAAGAAGACAGGTTAGAGAGAAATAGAAATCTCATGATTCAGTTCTTCCAAAGATCCCACAGAATAAGCCATTCTAAAAATTAAGTACTTTCCCCTTGACTTCTAAATTATAATTTGTGTAGCTAGTTTGATCCTAATGCTTTATAGATGTATGTTTCAAAATATCCAATATATCAATGTCCTCAAGTTGGTTACAGTGTTCTTTTAATCTACAAAGGAATAGTGAACCACAAGGCCAGATCTCTATTCAATGTACCAAAAGAGTAATGCATGAGATGACTCCTTATGAAATGAGTAAATGGAGTGTGCCTCGTTATGCGTACAGCTTACTTTCAGAAAGTGACGTAGGCATTGGGGGAATCACACTCAGTGTGCCATTTGAAATGTTATTGCATAACAAGAAAATGCAACAGAGGGAAGGAATCAGCAGTCATAAAATAAATCTCTGATACCCTCTGTATTATTTATGGTTTATGTTTTATATAAATTAAGGCCTTCAAATAAATCATTTCAGAATCATAGGGTAAATTTATCTTCTAAGTTATGGAAACATTGAGTCTTTATAAATATGTGTATTTTTATACTTTTTTTTCCATCTACTAGAACACGTAGTTGTTTTAACCAACTAAATTATTAAAAATGACTGTTTGAAAAAGGAAAAGATCAGATATATCAGCCTGATAAACTTATCCTTCTTTTCTGGGACCAAAATGAAGGATAACTCTTCATTTTTCTTGTCCACTGTCTCTAGGAACGTATGTGATGACCGTAACTGCTATTGATGCTGATGATCCAAATGCTCTAAATGGGATGTTGAGGTACAGAATTCTGTCCCAGGCTCCCAGCACCCCTTCACCCAACATGTTCACAATCAACAATGAGACTGGCGATATCATCACTGTGGCAGCTGGACTTGATCGAGAAGTAAGCCAAACAAAATTTGATTTGTTTTTAAAGATGAACAGTGTCACATATAGTTTATCTCCAGGTAATAATATATTCACGTGCTAATTTCCATTAATATATTTGCTGTGCAGGTTTATAACTGAACTTCATATTGGTTAAATGATATGATAAATCATTGCCAGCCTGCACAATGTCTAATGTGATAATTAAGTTATGCCAATACTCTCTACTACCAAATTTTTTAAATTCTTGGGCATTTCATCAGGTTTTTTGTTTTGTTTTTTTTTGGGGGGGAAAGGGGGGTACTAGGGATTGAACCCAGGGGTGATTAACCCTTAGCCACATCTCTAGCCCTTTTTATTTTGTATTTTGAGACAGGGTGTCTTCTTAAGTTACCTAGGCCTTCACTAAGTTTCTGACGCTGCCTCAGCCTCCCAAACTGCTGGGATTACAAGAGCGGCACTTGTGCCATCTCTCTGGGCTCTTCAATTATATTGTCAAAGGCTTTTGTGGGAAACTAAATTAAATATCATTGCCAAATAATGTATGCATAAATTTAAATAATTTTTAACATATTTTTAAGAGCTGCAAATATCATGTATGTGATTAGATTTTTGGTATCCTTATGGATAGCCTTATTTAGTACAAATTGATTCTCTCTTTTATTGGCACTTGCCCCTTAACCCTAAGGTTAATTTATTTACCAGGTTTGAGTACTAGTAACTGCATTAATTCTACTAACATTTAAAGACATAAGTTCAGAGAAGCATACTTCTGGCATATTTTGTTGAAAAGACATACACTGATGAAGGCATTGAAATACCATGACGTATCACAATCTGAGGCAAATAGTGATTGGGTAGGTTTCCATGGGAGCCGTCTCAGGGTGGCAGCCTGAGCCTACTGTGTTCTTATGCACCTCTGTGTTTTTCTTCATGTAATTTCTTATGCCAGGAAGTTTTTCCTTTGCCCCCGTCTTGGACCTTCCAATTCCCCGCATTCTGATTCCTGTTCTGCTTGTACACTTTCCTGAAAAGTCTAGCTCTAATGAAACTTTTATGTCCTTTTTCTCTTCTGTCCTGACCATTTTCTTACTGATTCTCAAGGTCATTATTTCAACCATCCATAATCATCGTGTGAGTGAATTATCAAAGTACCAACTCATAGAGATTTGTGTTTCCTACATTTCTGGCTGAGCCAGCTTTTACTGTAATGAGACATCTGATTACATATGTCAAAAGGAAACATTATACCCACCACAATAAATATTATTGACAGGGATTTTAGAAGTTGGGTTTTTTTGATGCTTTATTTGCTATAGGAGCATTCACTTGAATTGGATCGAAGAAAACACTACTATTGCAATTAATTATATACACAAGATAGTGCTAGAAGCACTATAATAAAGTAATATGAGCCAATCAAGATTACTTTATTCACAACTCAGCTGCAAGCTTTACTTAGGAGTTAGGGATATGCCTGTGACATTGTACCTATTAACTTCTGGCTGCCAGTGGACCCTTTTTCTAGGAATGTTTTGCATCAGAGATGATTGAAATGAATTTGGATTTGCAGTAGTACTTTTAGTTCAGTGATATTCGGAACATGTATGTCTTTTCACTTCTTCCATTACTGTATGAAATACTATTCTTATATGCCAATAAACTCAGCATGGGTGCCATATTTTATATGAGATTACGGGGTATTTTTCCATATTCTCTCTTGAATGCCAGGTTGCTCACATAGCAAGTCGATTTAGCTCTGTTCACAATCCTAATATTTCTCTTTCATTCACACTGTCATTATAAGATTCAGAAATGGGGCATCATCGTGTTTTCATCTGTAATATTCCTATCACACTTAGCCTGGCTGTTTTATGGCAAGAGAGAGGCATGGAGAACTAAAGATAGTTTTTCTGTAGTAGAGCAACCACGTTTAAAAATCAAAGAGACTGTATTTAGTTTAGAGGTTGGAAGCTTGAAGTTAGGCCATAATCGTGGGTAAGTCCATCTTCCAGTGGCCAGAGAGAGGCCATTCGCTGTCCTTTGGAGACACTAATGCAGAAATGAATTCCAGCCTACAGAATCGAGGATTAGATACAATATGCAAAATTGTCTCTTGACAGTGAAATTATTAAACACAACAGTGAGTTACTAGAGAAAATTATAGAAAAACCTTCCTTTTCGAAAAGTCACTTAACATAGAAAAAGCATCTATCTTCGATGGTTTATGGTAATTTCTGCCTGAGGCCGGGGATAAATTACTTTGACTTTTTGAGGCCTCGCACAGGCTTGAAATTCTTTTATTTCTATTAGAATTCACAGTTTCCTTTTTGTCGAATCATGTTAGTTGTCATTCTCCCAGGGTATATGACACCTTTAAGGGATGGAAGGCCCTAATCATTGAAATGCTTACTGAGATACAGCCTTTGATTTTTCTTTAATCTGTTGAGTTTGAAAAAGAAAGACAGAAAGAAAGAAAGAAATCATCTGTTCCTTAGCGTCTCCAAACCTAAAGCTGCACCACCACGTTATCCAGTCTTCAGCTTTTTATCTCCATCGGACAGATTACTAGTGGAGGCTTTTCCTGGCATTTTCTTCCTTTCCCCAGCCTTGTGTCTTTATTCCTTGTCGCCTGCCCTTTTTGCACAGACAGCCCATGACTGACTGCTTTACCGCGATTGAATTCTGGCTCAGCCTGTTCCAGCCTATTTGACCTTCATTAGCCTCTAACCTCAGCTTCCGCATCTGTAAATGGAGATCACAACACGAGGTGTATCATGGGGTGGCTCTGAAGCTTGTGCAACGTGATTCAGGAAGCATTCAGCAGTGCCCAGTAAATCTTAGTGACATTTTCCCCATTGCCATCCATGAGGACAGAATATTTCTCATGGCAAAGAAGGAACGATACTTCCCGTTTTCCAAGCCTATTAATTTTTTAACTGTGCCCTCAATTCCTTGTTCTGCCCTGAAGGCACTGTTTTCTGTGGTATATCCAGTCCTCCTCCCTTCCCTATAGGTTCCTCCATAACGGACAACTGTCCTAAATCTCCACAGTACAGTGGCTCTCCACACCCTGTGATATCAAATTGGAACTCTTTAGTATGGTATTCTAAGCCCTCTAGAGCCCTGGCCTCTGTGCCTTCTTCAGCCGCCCCCCTGCCAAGATTCTTTGCCTCTTGTTTTTGAACAAATGATGCCCCACCACTCCTATAACCACATGCTCTTGTAGCAGTGAAGTTTTATATTCTATTGCTGTTTCTTCTGCCTCAATATTTCTTTCTCATTTCCATGTGCCAAGCTGATCCTCGCCCTTAGAGAGCCAATCTTCAACACCTTCTCTGGGCAACCACAGTGCCTACTCTCTGATGCAAAGACTATATCATATAGAAAGTATATCTGGATTCTTGTTCTTAGTATTCAGCAGAGCAGGTGTTCTTCTTCCTTTTACCGTGAACAGGAACCCTGAAGAAATCTTGAAGTTATGAGACATCCTTCAGTTCAATACCAGACTTCTCAAAAGGGCAGCACCTACTCACTGTTCGACTCCTACGTCCTTCCTCATCTGCTTAGAATCTGGCCTTCTGCCTTCTTCCCTTACTCAAGATGTGCTTCTTGTTCTTTGTCTTCATTTTTTTTTTTTTTTTTTTTTTGAGATGGGTCTCACTCTGTGTGCTCTGGCTGGTCTCAAACTCATGAGGTTGGGTGGTTCTCCTGCCTTAGCTTCCTGAATACAGGCTTAACAGGCACTGTTACATCCAGCTTGCAGATTATGTATTCTGACTTTCTTGGAGGGCACTTACATATTGGAGCAATTAATGGTACACTCTCAACTCAGAAAGACCGGTTTTTAAGTCTTATTTTTGGCACTTAAGGCTGGAAATCTATGGCAAGGTTTCTTCCCTTTCTAAGACTCAGTTGCTCATTTGCAAAATGAGGATGAAAACTCTACCTTGTAGGAATGTGGTGAGGACAAATGAAGTTATTTAGTGCTTAGCATTGCACCCGACATGAATGCTCAATCTCAACTAAAGTCCTTGTTTTCTATTATCAAGGTCCTTAGATCAGTGTCCACATACAGTAAGCATGAAAAAAAAAATTAGAGCACAAATTTTCAAAATAGATGGCCCCTTTTCACAAAGGAGCTAACTGGGAGTTAACAGTTAATAATTTCTATGTGGGTCACAATCCTAAATTTTGGTGACATTATTATTTAACCTGGCTTCATCCATCCAAAAGCAAGTCTACCTTCTTAAGTGTCTGATTCATGATGAATTCTTTATTTCATGTAACTAGTGTTTTCTCCTTGTCTTCTGAGGTTGTGGTCTAATTGCCTTTACCATATTCAGCTACTAACTAATCCCAATCTGTTCAGTCATCATGTTCTTCTCAGTTTCACCCTATACATCTCTTGTATTCCTTCCTTCCTTCAAGCTTTGAGGACTGGTTGGGACACTCCGATTAAAAATTCTTAAGAAGGAGCTGGGGTTATGGCTGAGTGACAGAATGCCTGCCTCACATGTGTGAGGCACTGGCTTCAATCCTCAGCACCACATAAAAGATAGATAGATAGATAGATAGATAGATAAATAAATATAAAGATGTTGTGTCCAACTACAACTAAAAAAGTATTTTTAAAAATTTTTAAGAAATTTACATCAATGGGGACCTGAAGAGCTAGGAAACTGAGGAGGTAAAGGTGCTTATTTTTCATTTTATACCTGTTTATTCTTTTTAAATATTATACCATATGTATATGCCACCTGTTCTAAAAAATAAAGTGAGTTTTTAAACTGAGCCATTAAAAAATAACAAAAAATAAAGACTCCCTGCATCACTTCTTCCTACCCTGAGTACAATTGCATGGTGTATTTGGTGCTGTGATTCATTCCAATTGCTGTCACTTCATAACACCAAGACCATAATCTGATTTTATTTACTATTTTATCCAAGTAAATACAGCATTGCCTGCCATATAATAGAAGTTTAGCAAATGTTTGTCAAGGGAATAACTGAATGTCTTTAACCTCCTCTTCCGCTGATTTCAATCCAGATAAGTGTTTTTAAAATGTACTCCACACGTATAATGATTTTGGTTGGTACAAGCAGAGGACCCTGTAGGAAGCAAAGCCCCCAAGCCTTTTAGATGCTACTCCATCAAGTACAGACACCAGAATCCAAACATCCAAAAATTTATTATGTTTATTCTTTACAGTTATATTTATGGCATGTGAAAGCAGTTTTTCATGCATGGTACTGCTATAATAAATAAATTAAGTTTTGAAAAAAGAATGATAAATAGGAAATGACTCATGGTATAGAATTATGAGGATATGGGAGAATTGGGAAATGATGGATGCATCACTGTGGTTTGAGAAATAGCTAGTTTGTGCTCTCAGTATGTTTTAATAAATAATTATAGCTACCCATGTAAATAAGAATTTGGTTTTACCCTAACCTGGAGTGAGTTTTCTATGGTAATACAATGCTGAAGGTTTCTTCTCCATTCATTCATCCACCCACAAAGTCAAAAGCATCCATGGCTTGCTTGCTGTCTGTAAGACACTGTGCTACAGACTGATGAGACAAACAGAGCCCTGGGGATGGGAGGGTATGAGTGTGTGCTCACAACACACACAAGCATGGTGGGGCAAGAACAGCATGCAATATGATAATGGCCATATAAACTAGAAAGCGTGATAGAGATGCATTGTGGGATCACAATCTTGAGGACTGGAGAGCTCTGCCTCAAGGATTTTCAGAAGTCACTAACAAGATGACTTTGAAGCTGCTTGTTTGGCAGGCTCAGAATGAGGGAAGGATATTCTGGCCAGAGTTTCTCAACCAGAGAACTGTTGACATTTTTGGATACATAATTCTTTGTTGTGGGGACATGTCCTGTTGCATGTTCTGCAGAATTTCTGGCCTTAATATATTAGATGTCAGAAATACTCCCTAGTTGTGACAACAAAAATGTCCCCTAGCAGAACACAATCACTGTGGTTGAGAACCACTGGTCTAGGCAGGAGAATTGCCAAGTGCCATAGCATGGGGTCATGACAGTGCATTTGAAGATAAATATAAAAAGCTTAAAGTGTGAGATGAATGAATGACAGAGGATAGCTTTGGTAACATGGGTGAGTCACAGAGAGGGAAGGATTGATAACAACCTGATGAGTTGAGACTTTATCATATCTCAAAAAGGAACAGAGAAAAAGTTTTGAAGCAGAATTCTCTATGTCCATTGTAATACTGTGAAGGTGAGAAGTCAATTTGTGAGGGAATCTAAACGTTAGCCATTCAGAACCACATGCCCAGTGACTGATTTAGGCAAGAAGCTCTGAATGGTTTTGTTGCTTAAAAAATAGATTATCAAAACTTCCTTACTAAATATAAGACCATTTTTACAGTTAGGCATTTAGAAATAACAATGTTCTCTTAAAACTTAAAAGATTTCAAGACGAGCTTGAAGCAATAGGGAATTTCAAGAATCAGTTACAGATCCCAATTATTTCAGCCTATGCAAAATTGTCTGTATTATGCCCATATAATTTTAAAGATATTCATGAAATAGGAAAGTGCTCAATCTCCATGGGGAGGGTTTTTTTATCTTCTAAAAAAATAAACTCCATTTTTTTCTTTTTAATTGTTTTTTGAAAATGTTCATCTGTTTCTACAAACTAACAGCTATCAAAAATTGGCATTTCAAAAGTCACAACAAATTTTTGTTTTCATAACTTTCAGTGGGGACACTGAACTGAATGCCCTGCAAAAAAAATTTCTCTTAGTAACCATGAGAGCATTGAACTAAAGCAACACTAAGGACTGAGAAAGGAAACCATTGAGAGACACTGTACCCTATTTATGCATCCTTGTGAAGTGTTGTGGGTTCAGAAAAATTTAAATGGTTCAACCAGCACTATTCGTTTGTGGGTTTTTTAATTAATTCAGTAAAATGTGGTATTTTGTCTTTTAAAAGAAAAAAAAACAACTAAAATAAAAACTGGTAGAGGCTGGCATTTGGGTAGGCAGAGACTTAAAATCTAATGTGTGGCTGATCCTCCTACTCCTTTCTTTTCCTTGCCCTTCCCTCGAACAACTAAATCAAAAGCTACAATTTGTGTCTGTTCCATCCAAGCTCCAGAAATCCCTTAAGAATGGCCATTCATAACGGGAGCTATATTTAGAATCAGGGGAAACCGCACTTTGCAGTGACCGTTGTTTTCTTTTGTTTTTGGTTTTGTTTCGTATGAAGAAGTGACTCTGGTTTGGAATGTTTTTAACATTTATGAAAATGATCTATATATTTTTATCTGTGCCAACTTCTACAGAGATTCCAAATTATTTTAGATACTGTTTTTTTGGCTAGGTTTTCCTAATATAAAACTTTGTCAGCCAGTACTTGTAGGCTTCTCAGACAATCACAAGACTTGCTCTTAGATACATTACAGCTTGATTTGGCTCCTTTCTAAAATAGTCAGTCTGGAATTTGAAAGAACTGAATGCCTGTCAGATAATAGTCATCTTCATGGAAATGTATCCATATCTATACCCATTATAACTGTGTGCTCAAAACAGTGGACACAAGGAGTATCATGTCCAAATACCCATCCATTGAATATGCAATTATTAAATTCCTACTATGTTCCAGGGCTAACTATGTAAATATAAACCTTTTAACTAGACTTATGTATATGTCTGTGTGTGTGTGTGTGTGTGTGTGTGTGTGTGTGTGTGTGTGTGTGTGTGGTACTGGGGAATCCAACCAAGCTCTAACCTTAGCCCTTTTTATTTTTTTATTTTGAGACCAGATCTTACTCAATTGTCCTGACTGACCTTGAACTTGTGATCCTCCTGCCTCAACCTCCCTAGACAATGGGATTACAATCATGCACCACCACTGTGCCCAGTTTGAATTAGCTTTTGATTGTAAGAATATATCTCCCCTGGGGCTGGAGTTGTAGCTCAGTGGTAGCATGTGTGAGGCACTGGGTTCAGTCTCAGCACCACATATAAATGCATAAATAAATTAATTAAATAAAGATCTGCTGACAGCTAGGAAAAAAGAATATATTTCTCCTATGTAGTTTTGAATAGTATGCATTAGTGAGGATTAGAGGGAAATATCCTATCAACCCTCTTATAACAGAAGTTGCATATATATAAAAATATGTAAAAGGAAAGCCTGCATATATTGTAAATTATGTATGCTTTCTTCCCCCTCTCTTGAGCTTCTGCAGTGTCCTAAACTGGGTAGAAATTTAACACATGAGAAAGTAAATACAAACCAAAAGACTGGAATGCTTGATCACAGACTAGTGAAGAAAAGGGAAAGGTTGTACCAGATGGAGGTTTTAGCTTAGCTGTGAATTTCACACATCTGCAGCGCATTCCTCACTGTGAGGAGATGTGCATATACACAGTTAAATCTCTTTAGACAAAGACCAGACCTGTGCTTTGTAAGTTAAAGTAAACTGCACTTGGGAAATTTCAAGCAATGCTCATCAGAATGAATGATGCTGTGCTTTCCGTGTGTAATAAAGAGCCATTCACAGAACAACTGTTATGTCTTCTTGAGGAATTAGTTTCATTTAGGTTGTTATCTTTATGTCTTTTTAGAAAGTGCAACAGTATACGTTAATAATTCAAGCTACAGACATGGAAGGCAATCCCACATACGGTCTTTCAAACACAGCCACGGCTGTCATCACAGTGACAGATGTCAATGACAATCCTCCAGAGTTTACTGCCATGACAGTAAGTATGGCCTGTCGCTCAAGGAACTTCAGGTCTGTGGTCCATTATGGAGAAGTTTTGTCATGAATAATAAATGTGTTAAATAGAAGTGGAACTTGCTTAACTTGAGAGTAGAATGGCCAGTGGCTCGGGGGCTTCTGTCCCCAGGGCTTTAACTCAGGCATCTCAGTAGTTTTCTTCCTCATCTTCAAGATCATTGTTAAAAATGTTAAAATATCCTGCCTGGAACAAACATTCTGAAAAGACTGGGTGCTGTTATAACAAAATACTTACAAACATTTTCAGGTGTGTGAACTACATGACTGATTGATGCTCCTTCTTGAGTATGTAATTATCTATATCAAAGTAAAATCATTTCCGTAGACAAATCCTTTCCCCTAACCCCACATTAATCACCCAGATACTCATAAGTGGTTGCTAATTTTAATAGGTAATGGAACTGCAACATCATTTGCAAAATAAAAATGGGGACTAAAATGTGTTATAGTATTTTTAAAGTCAAGCATAAATCCTATGATTACCTGCATTACCAATCTCCCCATTTAGTGTAGATAATTAAGATTTAATGGAGCAGTTAAATCTGGGTGGTGTGTTTGTCAAGACAACTTGTCCTCCAGTGGTCTACGTCACTCCTCTGACTGACATCTGTCTTTCTTGTAGTTCTATGGTGAAGTACCTGAAAACAGGGTGGATGTCATTGTAGCTAATTTAACCGTGACTGATAAGGATCAGCCCCATACACCAGCCTGGAACGCAGTGTACAGAATCAGTGGTGGAGATCCTACAGGAAGGTTTGCCATTCAGACCGACCCTAACAGCAACGACGGGTTAGTCACCGTGGTAAAAGTAAGTGTTCCTCAGGGCATTGATCTCTGACAGCCTCTTGGCAGTGAGCAGTAGATTTGCCCCTACTGTATCATTTTGCTATTAAATCTTAGGGTCTTCTTTTCCCCCAAACATCTCTAAATCTGGAATTCATATTTATGTAGTAGGTTATGTGTTATGGTTTAATTTATGCTGAGGTTGAGGCCAGCAAAGGTATTCCCCATTATCATTGGACTTAGATTTTTTTTAAATCATAAAGTCAGTTTAGACAGACTTACCAATCTGAAGAGACTGACCTCAACAACACTGATTATCAATGTAATTGATGTATTAGTTCTGATCCTCAGTTGATACCTGTGAAGAATGAGGCACCACACCTATGTTCCTCGTGGTTACAGCTGTTGAAAATATTGGGAGGTAGGGAGTGAACCAGAAAATATCACAGAAGTAACATGGAATGAGCAGGCAAGAAAAGAGCCTATGTTTTAAAAAGATCTTGTGTTTACATTGCTATTTTAAATAATTTTTTTCAAAACTTCAAGAAACTGATTCTTCTATTTTTAATTGACAAAAGAGAGAAAAAGAGAGGACTCCAAACAAAACAATTTGGTGCCAAATGCAGAGGGAATGTTCTTCAGGTATAATAATGCATAGCTGTAATGTATAATAAGTTGGTTCCGCTGATCATCCCTACCCAGTGAAAAAATATATTACTCTGCCTCTCACCTAAAGTTTGTAAGTACACCCAGGTGTTGGCTTCACAGGGCAATGTGCATCACAGTGCCAGTTGCCAACAACCATGTACTGTATGTGCATGAGTCGACTGAGATGTGGTTTTGAAACTTAGTGATCAAGAGCACCACTCCCAGAACCCAGTTGTCTGTGTTCAAATTACAGCTCTGCTCTTGACACTTGTGTGACCATGACTGGTTATTTAACCTCTGTTAACCTCAAATTCCTCATGCAGAAAGTAGGGGCTGTGATGACAGCACCTAAGTCATGGCACTTTTGTGAGGGATGAATGAGTTTTGTATGCTTTGAAGAACTCAGAACTGTGCCGATGCCAGGAAGCACAAATAAATGTCACGACAGGACAGTGGAGTGGTTCATGCGATCCCTCAAGATACTACAATCTTCTTTTCTGGCTTCTTCTCTGTCTTGTTGGAAACACTTGAGGAAAGGAAAGTTGAGCTGGGGACTTGGGAGTGAAAGAAGAAAACTGTGTTTCAAGACGTGAGGAAGTGATCTAGGTTAAGAAACTGGTACAGTTGATGCTAATGATGTAGCTTTTTCGTGACCTGCAGCTCTTGATCATTCTTGGGCTACCATCAAGTTTCGAGATTCTCTGTGCCCTTTCTTTCCCTGTTATTACCACACAGTTCTGCCTGTTTGCACCTTCACTAAAAGGTGATCAAGGGAAATTAAGGGAAAGTTCCATTTGGTCACTTGATTCCCATAACATTCTTGTGACAGCAGGATTTAATGGGACTTTGTTTTTTTGTATTTTTTTTTTGTGTGTGTGTGTGTGTGTTTTTACTTATTAGTTATACATGACAGTAGAATGTATTTTGACATATTATACATATAAAGAGTATAACTGCCCATTCTTCTGGTTGTACCTGATATGGAAATCAGTGGGACTTTGGAAGTAAATATTTACAAGAAGGGTTATTTGTGCATTGCATTAATCTTGAGTGTTGTCCTTAGATTTGTGATTTTTACAGACCAGTAAAACACTCAGAATTATTTTAGTTTGCTAAAGAAGGAAAAAAAGCCTTCCACCAAAAATCACTTTTATTTTAAAAGGAAGTGTGTGTGTATGTACACATTGGTATTTCAAATTGTACTTCAAATTATGAAATATACTTAAACTATTCATAAATTTCAGCTTTATGAAAAAAGATCAGATTTCCTGGGGTTTTTGTTTGTTTGTTTTTTAGTGTATCACAGACTGGGGGAAGCTTCCCTGGATGAGGACTGATCCTATACCAGTGCCTGAGACCCTATGCTCTTATCTGACTTCATATTAGTTGGTATTTTTGATCCACAATGTTATTTTTAAAAATAATCACTGTTTAGATATACCTAAATAAATAAATCCATGCAGCAGTAATGCACATTATTTGGTGAACGTAAATCTTTGAAGTACCCAAGATTTATAAGTAGCTTAAACTTGCATAAGTATTTCAGTCATTGACCAGGATAAGGCATATTTTCCAGAAAGTTGAGAGGAACTTCACTGTGCAGTGAATTAAAAAAAAAAATCAAGTTTGAGAAATGGAATTAATAGAATGAAGCGCAGCATGTAAATATTCTTAGTTCTGAAAAATATGATTTTCTTTTTATCTTTTCTTTTTCCAGCCAATCGACTTTGAAACAAATAGGATGTTTGTCCTTACTGTTGCTGCAGAAAATCAAGTGCCATTAGCCAAAGGAATCCAGCACCCACCTCAGTCCACTGCAACTGTGTCTGTCACAGTTATCGATGTCAATGAAAACCCTTATTTTGCCCCCAATCCCAAGATCATTCGCCAAGAAGAAGGTCTTCACGCAGGTACCATGTTGACAACATTCACTGCTCAGGACCCAGATCGATATATGCAGCAGAATATTAGGTATGAAATGCTGCTTATGGTATTTTTATAATTTACATTCCATTCTGTATCATGCATAAAATTTATTTAATTTACCATTTGTGTATCAATTGAAGAAAAAAATTTCCTTTGTTTATTTTTACCCCTTTCCTTTTTTAAGAGAAGGTAATTATTTAGCCTGTGCTTTTAAATTGAACACCTCAAAAAGTTGTACAGTCAGTAAATAGAGAACTTTCAGAAGCTTATGACATTTATCTCTCCTTCATGTCGGGAAGAAAATGAAACTTAGGCCCAAACCAAAATCTAGGAGCTAATTATTTTTATTCCTTACCTGTGCAGTGAACTTATAAAATGTATCTGTGAAGATTTCCAACCTCAGCAAAATCTAATTTGTCCTTCCTGATAAATGAATAGATGACGGGCAAAGCCCACCCCATGAATCGGTTATCTGTAGCTCATGATGGTAATTCTTAAAATGAGCTGGCAATTTATTATTTAACTTTCTTCCAAACTGAAGTTAACAGATAACTGCATTTATCCTCTATTTCTTCATACATTGACACCAACATACTTAAATAGTTAATTAATATTTGTATTGAAATCCTACAATTTTTACTTCTCAAAGTATAGCACATGCTTCCAAACTGTACATTGGTTATCTGACCTTGAAATGTTCACCTCCTACTTCCAGTAAAAATAGAATTTAAGCTGATCGCTCTACTCATACAGACTGGAGCTTGTGGGTCTTGTTTGAAAGGATATAGCTCAGAAGCTTGGCCCAGAGTGGGAGATCCTAGTAGGAATGAATTATAAGAGATCTCTTCAGTGAGATTCATCTCTGCCATGATAAGGTGGTGAAACCAATTAGGAGTGATCTGTGATATCAAATTCAATTTCTTTTATAAATTTCTCTTAAGTCCTATATATTAGATCTACTACTTATTTGGAAAGTATATTTGAGCCGTTTATCTGCACATTTGATATCTGTTGAAGTAGACAAGAACCTCCATTGAAATATGTCCAAACTACCTTAATGCACACTAGGGAGATTATGCTCTTTGTCTTGTACCTCAAATATCTGTGGAATGTTTCCTGCATGACTGACCAAACACAACCTTTATGTACCTCCCAAAATCACTGCCACAGAAATATTTTCCTTGTGAAAGCTCTGTTTCTAACCATCATCTACAAAAATGCAAGTTAATGAGCTGGTTGTATTTTTGCAATTAAACCTGTAAAATATGTGTTATCTTTTAAGCTTCACATCAAAAAAAAAAAAATTAAACTTACTGCACTTTCATTTTGTAGATACACAAAATTATCTGATCCTGCCAATTGGCTAAAAATAGATCCTGTGAATGGCCAAATCACTACAATTGCTGTTTTGGACAGAGAATCGCCAAATGTGAAAAACAATATATATAATGCTACTTTCCTTGCTTCTGACAATGGTATGTAATTAAATATATTTGTGGTATTATCCTGTACATTGGTTAAAGAGAGTAGAGCCTCATCATACATGCACACAAACCAAGATTTTCTATAATACCATATTGACAAGAAAATGGACCTTTGTTGCTCTTAGGCCCCAATTAAAAAAAAAAAAAAATTCATTTCCTGTGGCCTTCTTGTGCCTAATGAATGTTCTCTGGCCACACACCTTCCAGGGTAGCCTGGTATACTGATTATGAACATTCCTTGTTCTGTCCTGCCACACTTTGATACCTTATTTACTACAGCTCCAGTTAACCATCAGTGTCCCCAGAGTCTGTGTTTTTGTGGTGGTTTTTGTTGTTATTTTAGGTACTGGGGATAGAACTCAGGGGCACTCGACCACTGAGCCACATCCCCAGCCCTATTTATATTTTATTTGGAGAGAAGTTCTCACTGAATTGCTTAGCACTCACTTTTTTGCTGAGGCTGGCTTTGAACTTTGAACTTTGAACTGCTTCAGCCTCCCAAGCCACTGGGATTTCAGGAGTGCACCACCACACCGGACAGTCTCTGTGTTTTTTGAGTTGGTCTTTTTATATTTCTTGTAGTCAGTCTGTTTACTGCCATTAGTATATGTGTCTGTAGCAATTGTCCTATTTCTGACTCTCCGCCATTGTGTGCCATGCATCAGGAAGCTCTTAATTTAGGGTGTAAATTGAGAGAAGTGAGACTGTGAGCATTTAGGGTGTTGGATTTTAGAAGAGATACTCTGACACCTTTCGTATTTTCTTTTGCGGATCTCTGCTGGGTCTGAGTTGGTTGAGATATATAGGTAATCCACCTTTTTTAGATATCTAATATAAAAGGAACGTATGAAACTTGATGATGAACTTTCTTGTTTTGTTAGCATTCGGTTTAACATGTGCTTGAGAATGGAAGCTCTGGAGTTCTGCCTGATCCCCAGGGCCTATCTCCACCTCTCCGACTGTCTTAGCATATGATTGGTGATGGGGTTTAATCTCTTTCCTTTTTTTTCTGATGTTTTTGTTGGTAAATACACATAATGGTATTCACTATTATGTGTATTGTTTTGAGGGAAATAGAATGACTTCTACATAGAAAATTGTACCTGGCACAAACTAACCACTTCAATAAACATTTCTTCTATTTTTGAGTAGTTTCAAAACTGAATCACAACCATGTTTTAAAATATTTTAGTGTTATTCTGTAATGGGAATATTTAATAAAAATAACCTTTAAATTGGCGGGCAGGATGTGCCGTTTGAAAAACATTGCCTGTCAACACTTTTGATAAAACCTATCTCAATGAACGTTTCCAAATCCTGTATAATAAGATTCAATGAGATTGCGATCTGAAGTAAATCCATGTGGCGACAGAGCTAAAACACTATTTCTTATCCTTTCTAATGAGACATGACTGTTCAAATGTTGAGAGTTGGACCTCTGTAGAAACAGCCTCTGCCAGTGTACCTCAGAGCATTGCTTTGGAGGTTTTTTTCCTTTGGAGCATTATATTTATACATTTGAGTTCATGTTGACAAAATCATACCCATGGAAATTATTCCATTTTTGTTCCCATCCTCTCCAACTTCCCTCTTTCCTTTCTTTCCCCCTATTCTCCTTCTTTCTTTCACTTGCTTATTTATTTACTTTTGGTGGGTGCTTTTAACATAAAGGTGGAATTCCTCTGGTATAGTTATATATATGCACATGGTGTGATTTTTGTTAAATCATTCCACATCTTTTCCCTTTTCCCATTCCTCCTCCTTCTATCTCGATCTCTTCCTTCTACTCCACTGACATTCCTTATATCTTTATGATATCTGATCCCACACCACCTTTCCCCCTTATTTTGCTCTAGTTCCTGCATACAAACATTTGACTCTTTGATTTTTCTGAGCACTAGTGTGTTTTATGTTTCCTTGTTGCATGGAACTAGTAGCTGTCCTCTACATTAGAACTTAAAATAATGTATCTTAAACCATAATGTCGTGATATAAAGATTTACATATATAAAGTGACATGTATGTTGGTTGTAAGTGCCTGCCAGGTTTTTCATTCACCCAGGTGATTTTTTGTTCTAATTGGAAGGTTATTTGATATGAGAGACAAGTGAGCTGTTCAGTCTATGTAGCTGGGACACTTTGCATGTGCATTTCAATTTAAATCACAAAGCTGGATATAGAGCCTCAGTTCTGCTCCATAATGATTGGGCGAGTTCTTATATTCTCTCTGTGCCATGGTTTCATTATTATTAAATTGTTTAACTGTTGCTTATTCTATAAAGTTGTTGTAAGAGTTAAGTAATCTTAAATGTGATAATGAATGTAAAAGTTCTTCAAACTGTCAAATATCATAGTGGTGGTAACAGTATTGGGAAATTGGAACAGACGCCCTGCCTTCCTAAGTTCTCTGTGTTCTCAGAACTGTGATATTCTTCACAGAGGGTGGTAGAGATTTTTACTTATTCCCAGCTCAGAATGACATGTGCATGTGTACCTTCCTCATTGCATTACCCTGAGCAGGTCACCTAAATCTTTGGGCTTCAAAATGTATTACTATTAATAAACTATTTTATATACATATCATTTATTATTTATGCATGAATATTTATAATATGAGCAGAAGACAGAATTATCATATGAGATGGTAAAGACATTTTATAGTGGAATGAGAATGGATTTGGGGCCAGGCAGAGCAACCTTTAGTAACAACCCACTTATATATAATAGTATGTAGCCATGAGCAATTTATAGAGACAAAGGTTCCTCATCTGTTCAAACCTACTTTGTTGGATGACAACAAAATAATACAAAGAAAGCCATCTGATCTTTCTGAGTAGTTGATTGATCAATAACTATCACTTCTCTCCCCTAAGATGTTCCTTCCCGAAATGAGACCTGTGGTTCTGTATTATTTGTCTGTAGAGTATTGTATTAGGTCAGAGCCATTTTTGAGCTTTCAAAGCACTCTTGAGTTCTTTCATGCACACATGTCTTAGTTCTCTATCCAAAGGCTAGGGTCCACAAACTCTTGAGCCTTTGTCCTGCTTACCTGACATTCCATACAGTGCCTGGAGGAGTGTGATGTGCACAGACCCTGAGTAATGGACAACAGGGCCAGGAAAAGTGTGGGATCCCATAGAGCCTGTCGTCACCATGCTCACTCCCTACACCGTAGCATGGCAGTTCAAGGTCATGCCAAGAGGGAAGAAAGAAGTGGACTTGTTCTGAAACAGTCCATTCAGATACTGTGACAGCTAGATTTTTCCAGGGTAACACAGTGATGAGGGCAAGAAGGCTGGACGTTTGAGAATTTCACTGTAATTGAGACTTATTGGAGAGAACTGTTCAGCATCCATTGTAATTTTTCCTCCCTTTTTAGGAATTCCTCCTATGAGTGGAACAGGAACGCTGCAAATCTATTTACTTGATATTAATGACAATGCTCCTCAAGTGTTACCTCAAGAGGCAGAGACTTGTGAAACTCCAGACCCCAATTCAATTAACATCACAGCACTTGATTATGACATCGATCCAAATGCTGGACCATTTGCTTTTGATCTTCCTTTATCTCCTGTGACTATTAAGAGAAATTGGACCATCACTCGGCTTAATGGTAAGAACAGGTTAATTATTTGAATATATGTGCAGTTGAGAGGTTTTGAAACCTGGTATGAAAAGTTAATTTTTACGTGCTTCATAATCTTCTCATTAAATATATTCTAAAAGCTACTTAAAGTTTAAGTAAAATATTAAGAGCTCTTGAAGCCAAAAAAAAAAAATGTTTTCATAATGCTGCAGCATTGTGATTCTCTTTATGTATACAGTCAGGTAGGAGACACATTCTGGAAAAGGCTGGGTTTTTGTTGCATTAGGTATTGATTATCAAACTGTATTTTTCCTCTTTTTGTACAGGTGATTTTGCTCAGCTCAATTTAAAGATCAAATTTCTTGAAGCTGGGATCTATGAAGTTCCCATCATAATCACAGATTCCGGTAATCCTCCCAAGTCCAATATTTCCATCCTCCGAGTGAAGGTTTGCCAGTGTGACTCAAATGGAGACTGCACAGATGTGGACCGGATCGTGGGCGCAGGGCTTGGCACGGGGGCCATCATCGCCATCCTGCTGTGTATCATCATCCTCCTTAGTGAGTACTAGTGTCGTCTCTTGGGTGTTAATTCCTTTGGCTTCTGGGATGTTCAGCAACGGAACTTACTTCTGTTGCCCTACAAAGTAACCTAAGTGGTCACAAATTGAACCCAATGCTCAGTCCTGCCTTGACTTGGGAGTAAGCTCTCCTTGACCTCTGAGCACTGCCTCTTCAATCATAAACAGGACTACCAAGTCCACCTGAGAATGGAAAGCCTTGGAGCATTCTTCCAAGCACTTACAGGTTTACAACAAGCCTCCCCAGAATACTTCTTCCATGCCCTCTTGCCATTTTCTGATGCTGATTGCTTGGGGAGCTGTAAAACTCTTTTTGTAGAAAAATGTTAAACAGTCCCAAGGTTGAGCACGTATCTTATGATTTGAGTATGAATTTATGGCATGTGGTTGATGATTTAGGAAAATAAGTATATTGCTTTCCTTCACTTTCCTCCGTACAAAGCACAGTCAGCAGCCTGCTCCAGTCAGGCGAGGATCAAGGTATTTGTTTCTGAAGGGCTGCACCAAATAGTGAGAGATTGTACTTCACACACAGCACATTTGATAATAGAAATGATTACACAGCTCAATAAATTGTCTGTCTTTAGAGGAAGTATAGATTAAGGAATTGCTCCTTTTTAAGATACTTGGCAATCTTTGGTTCAGTGGAATGCAAGAAATTAACCACTGGAAAGTACTTTAAGAACCACTTCTAAGCATGCAGGTTAAAAGAAGAAATTGCCTGGGCCTTGTGTTTTATTGTGGAATAGCAGCAGGACTTAGTTTATTGTGCGATCATGCTTATGCACCAATCACTTTCTTGAAAATGTTGGCCATTTCTTTTATGTTTCCTCCATTTACAAGTGTTCTGGTAATTTAGAATTCTGTCCCTTTATTCTAAGCAATTACTATAGAAGCCTGAGCATTTTTTACTTCCTGTGTGGAGACTACTTTGGCTATAATTTGAAACCTGCATGCTATACTAATAATCCACTTGCTAGATTTAGCCCTGGAACAATGGCAAATGAGATCATGTATCTGGCTTTAAAAGGAGGATATTTACTTTTATGGCCAATAATAAAAATGTGCTCAAATAGGAGTCATTAAATCTTTTGTTTCAGGATGTAAACCGATACCCTCAGATTTTAGACAGAGCTCATTCCTAGATGTGCACTTAGGGACGAGTTTCAGTTTCCACTGAAACGTGGCGTAGATGCCAGCCTTATCAAGAAAGACTTAGGTATGATGGATTGAGGCATGTAGAAGTGACTGTGGCATTTTGAAGGAAAATGAATTGGTGCTGATTTTAACATCAACTCTGGAAAATTTATGGTTCCAGTCCTGGCACATAAGTGTGAAGCATGAAAGCCTAATATTATTTTAGTGCTCAAACTAATCCCCTCGTCTTCTTAGCTGAAACATGCATTTTGATAGAACAGAAAATGCAGAATAGTGTGGCAGGAAAACACAGCCCTTGGGAGTCAAGGAAAATCTCAAGATGCTATTCCTGATCTAGCTTCAATTTTTTACCCAAGTCATCTAAACAAGCACTTGTCACCTTGTCACACCAGAGAAGTACCTTTTTTTCTTTTTTGTACCAGGGATTGAACTCAGAGGCACTCAACCACTGAGCCACACCCCATCCCTATTTTGTATTTTATTTAGAGACGGGGTCTTACTGAGTTGCTAAATGCCTTGCCATTGCTGAGGCTGGCTTTGAACTCGCAATCCTCCCATCTCAGACTCCTGAGCCACTAGGATTACAGGTGTCCACCACCATGCCCTGTAGAAGTGCCATTTTCTGTGAATTTAGAATCATAATGATGAGAGACTAATCTGCATTAAGCAGTGTCATAATTTATCTTACTGCTATTTTGTGTCTTCAGAATTTATGAAGTATTATATTAAAAGTATCTGAAGTATTATATTAAGGCCAAAATGAAGACCAAAAATGATACTGTCCCCATGCATAGATAATGAAACTGAGGACAAGGATATTTACCCAAAGGGGTTTGTGGGACACCAGATCATTGAGCCCAAGTGGTCACAAACTGAACCCAATGCTCAGTCCTGCCTTGACTTGTTTCTTTAAATCTCTGAGGCCAGAAATAAGTAATAGAGTTGGAAATGGATTACAAGCCTTTGACCCTTTTACATACAAATTATTAGTGCTGCAGACATGATTAGATAGCTCTGACTTCCAAATGTGTTAAGAGTCTGTAAACAAGTCAGGATGGTACCTGGCATTTTGCCAGAGGGAGTGGTTTGTGAAGTAATGCCAGCGAGCCATTAAGTGTGGAGATTCCTTATTGGTTGACTGCTGTATCTAGTTTATGTTAATTAAGATAAGCTATGTGTAAGATATATATACCCCTCCTGTCCTACAATAAACTGCTCCCACTCCAGCTGTATCAATCTACACAAGTTGCTCCTCAACCCCTGGTTATTTTGCTGCAGCCGGACTGCGGCACAAATGATGCAATTACTGTGTTCTATCTAGTCCTTGTTCTGAAGTTTGTGGTATGGATGAAACGCTGGGATAAAGAACGCCAAGCCAAACAACTTTTAATTGATCCAGAGGATGAGGTAAGAGATAATATTTTAAAATACGATGAAGACGGTGGAGCAGAAGAAGACTAGGTGAGCAATATTTTGAATATTTTGTTTGTTTGTTTGTTTGTTATATCCATTCTACACTTGCTGTTAACTGAGGATGGAAGATATAGGAAAGGCAAGTTCAACTCTTTTCTTTTTTAATATTTAATTTTTAGTTGTATTTGGACAAATACCTTTATTTTACTTACTTATTTTTATGTGGTGCTGAGGATTGAACATAGGGCCTCGCACGTACTGGGCAAGCACTCTACTGCTGAGCCACAACTCCAGCCCCAATATTTTGAATCTTTAAAAGGAAATTTTATGACCATATGGATTAAATGATGGGGAAAGGGTTAATATATGGGGAAAGAAAATGGCATCAAGTTTCTTTTCTGTTGTCACAGAATCAGTTGATGAATTCTTTTCTGTGTGCCACACATTTATTGAATTTTTTGAAAGCCCTAAATGTCATTGTATTTATTCTGAAGAAAATCACTAGGGGTGATTCCAGGAACCTGGAATTTGAACCCAATTCCTGTAATATATGTACGAATGAAAATATTTTTCTTCACAGTTTTTATTTAGTCATTTGAAATATAACTGAAAGTAGTTTTTACCTTGAGATCTAGATATTTGTATGTATGGTAGAAAAAGCACTAAACCTATTAATTCCAAACCATTTCCAGGCATGTATTTTAATCTCAGATGATACAGAGTTGGGAAGAACCAATAAATATTTGCCTTCAAGGGCTTACACACGCAGAGAAATATTTGAAGTTAAAGACAACATAGGCCATCTTTGTGTCCATAGTGTCTATCACGGTGTCTAGCTCATAGTGGTTGGTTCAATAGCAGTCAAAATTTCCTTCTTGCTATCAAATCACAAAAGCTTCAGAATCACTGTGTAACTGTAGAACTGCAAACCATTTAAAGGATAAAAATTACCAATACATGGAAAACAAACATCTTTTTGTGTTCAGAAACAATATTTTAGACATTTTAATAGCTAACCATTATAGGTTCTATACTACATACCAGACATTCTGCTTAGTACACTAAATGTCATTCTTTTAAATCTTTAAAACCTGTGTTCTTACTATGAATATTTTTAGCAATAGAAAACTAAATCTAAGTTGGATTCTAAAAAACAGGAAGTAACACATGGAGGATATTAGTTTAGGTTTCTCTGATGTCACTGACTAAACTATATACTATGTATTATAACCTGACTGCTCTGATATACTTGCTCTTGAAATTATATCAAAATATTAATGTAAGCCAAGAGAAATCATTAGTACTGGTGTTGCCTAGATACATTTGATAGCTTGGTCATTTCTACTTACTAAAACAAAAGCCAGCAATAGCAATATGGAAAGAACTCACAATTATTGGGTTTTGCATTATTATCAGTAAATCAAAATGTACTTGGTCTTAAATATATGGGTAGACATCAGCAAAAGGGCTGTAAACTTGAATAAAAGCAAATTTTCAAAAACTTATTGTTTCTTTTGCTTTTCAACTCCTTTGAGGAAATGATACATCACTTTGTGTTTTGTAGAGAATGCTCACACCCTGCCTTATGTTTAATACTTGTTTTAACCCTTTTATATTTGCACAAAATTGTGTGATTTGTTCCCAGTTTGTAACTCTTATGGCCAGAACTGAAACTCACATTTTCTCATTTGCTTGGTTTACAATACCTCCACTCTCTCATTTAGAAGAAATGCCTGTTCAAAATATGTTGAAAACTTGACTCAAGTGTATAAAGCTGTTTTGAATGCTGACTTAATAAAATGGGTCTATAAATATACCCCAGTGTTTCTTCCTTATAAATGACTTTGAATTTTAAAATTCATGTTTGGCTTAATTCTTAATCTATCCTTTTTGCTTTCCTGGGCTGTATTCAAGATTGACAAATGTATATTGATCACATTCTCTCAGAAACCCTCTATTTTTATTATTTTATTGTTTCATGTCAAGGCATAAACCTAAAACCAACTTAATGAAGCTTCTGTAAAAATAGTAATTACTGCAAGGCCCCTAGTAATAACTGGATTCTGCAAAAAAACTGATCCAGAGGCAGGACCAAAATAGTTCTCAGCATCTTAGAGTGTGGACCAGGTTACCTGAGTCACCTGATCTGAATCCTTTTCTCTCTTTCACATCAATTCTTTCAACAGATAGTTTAAAAAGAGTTTCTTGTCATTATTTCAGGAAAGATGTATTTATTTTATTGACTTCATCCACTCAGAATGATGCCTGAGATCAGATGGCACAACTTAACCTGAGAGTTAATGGGGATACAGAATAATTCAGGAAAAGAAAAGACATGGGCCTCTAGGAGTCAGACTGGCTCAAGATCTAACTGCCAATCCAGTTCCAATTTCCTTCCCAAGTCATCTGGGCAAGCACTTGTCCCCTTGGAAAAGTGCCGTTCTCTGCATTTGGGAGTATAATGATGCCTGAACAACCTGAATAAAATATGAATGAAACATTAACTTACTGCTGTTTTGTGTTTTCAGAATTTACGAAGCAGAATATGAAGATTTCTTAAAATTAACATCATAAATCTTCAACCTCTCCCTTTCCTGATCTCTAAAGTTTTTCAGGCTCCCACATAAACTCCTGGGCATGAATGTGTTGCTTCCTATCCACTTGTCAAGCAGCTTGAAGGTTGTTCTGTAACTTAATCTGTGTTGTACTCTGTGGCTAATTTATTTAGTACTGGTCTTCCTCAGGAGTCTTTGCAGCTTCTTAGTTCATTGATGGTATCTTAGTGTAGCTCAAGAGCCTCCACTTGTCTTTGGTCCTCTGTTTTGTTTTCCCTATGTAAGTACTCACTGTAGACAATTGTAATAAAACAGAATAATGCATTTGTTATTCATATAATTTTTACCTCAGAATAACAGAATGAATCTTGTAGTTTAGGAATGTACACCGTGGGTTCTGCCTCCCCAACTTCTAAGGTGGTTCATGAAATCCATTCACTTACCATTATCCCAATATTGCTGCCCTCACTTAGGGTGGGTCATCCCTGTCCTACCTCATCTTCCTGTCTCTGGCTTAACACCCTCATCCAGTCTATTGCATTTATCAGATCCAGACTTCTTCCTGAGCATGTTGCTTTTTGGGCCCTGCAACCAACCTTTGTTGAATGACCTTGTGCCTAGAGGTCCATGGGAAGGAGTTAATGAAGGGCACAAGTTCCCTTGGGACACAGATGTATCAAGCCTATCCACTCATGACCACTAAAGTGTTCTTCAGACTTTCAGTGATTCATCCTTAAACCTTTTAACAGCAGTTTCTTTTTTTTTTCTTCCCTTCATTCCTTTGCAGGGATAAAAGCAGTTCTCAGTCCTCTCTCTCCTAGAAAGGGCTTGTCCAGTCCTATATTTTCATTCAGAGAGGCCTCATTTTGTTCTCAGCTCTCTTAATGGTTTCACAAAACTGTGATTTGGTAACTTGTATGACTTTTTCTTGGCACTAGAATGTGAATAAGAGCCTCATGACTTTCTAGATAGCCCAGCCAGAAGCAAAAGGCTTCCTGCAGGTCTGAATATACCCACCACTCATATCAACCTTTGCAGGAGCCTATGGGGCTTCCTCTGTAGGTAGGTCTGCTACTAAAAGCAACCAGAATTTTATTATTTCTATCACTATAGATAGCACTCTCTATTTTTTTACTTTTATATAAATAGATAGCATTGGCACATTTTGGGCTGGCTTTCATAACTCAACATCATACCCATGAGATTCCTCTATATTGTCTGTAGAAGTAGTTCATTTTTTTGCCATTGAGGAATAATATTCTGTTGTAAAAATTAAGCATTAGAATGATGATTACTTATCATTCTATTGCACCTGGACCTTTGAGTATATGCAGTTGGGTAATTATGAATAAAGCTCCTATGAACATTGCTGTGAATGTGTTTTTGGTGCATTTCTCTCTTGTTCATGTGTGTAAAGTGAGCATAATCTACCAGTTTCCCAGAGTAACTGTAAGTTTTGCATCTCTCATTCCCACAGTGTATGGAATTTCTAATTGTCCCACATCTTCTTCCTTAGCACTTAGATTTTTCAGTCTTTTTAACTTAAGACACTCTAAAGCTATGTATCTTACTGATATTTAATTGGGATTCTCCCAGTATTTTTGTTGCCATATTTATTTATTCATTTGTTTTGGTGCTGGGGATTGAAACACTGTACCACTGAACTACATCCTATATCCGCAGACTTTTTTTTTAAATATTTTTACATTAAGACAGGGTCTTGCTAAATTGCTGAGGCTTAGCCTCAAATCTGTGGTCCTCCTACCTCAGTCTTCTGATTTGCTGGGTTTAGAGGCATGTAGCACTACACCAGGCCCCATGGTGATGATATTTTTCATGAAGTTTCTGTTCAGCTTCATTCATCTATAGGAATGTCTTTTTTTTTCCTTATTGATTTATAGGAGGTCCTTATAGAAATGAAATCTTTGTCAGATAAATGCATTGCAAGGAACTTTTCATTCAGTAGATCACTCTTTTGTTCTCTTTACGATGTCTTATGATGAGGAGAAGGTTTTAATTTTGATGAAGTCAAGTCCACTTTACTATTTTTCCCATCATACTTACTGTTTTTATATCCTATTGAAGATAACTATTATCTATTTCAATGTAATGAATATTCCCCCCAAATATCTTTATATCATCTTATTAAAGCTCTATAATTTTACCTATCATAATTGTGATAGGTAGTTATAATTTTGCCTTTTGTAACTTCTATATATATTTGTAATTGATTTTCTATCTAGTGTAAGATATGGATCAGGAATTTGGGGGTTTGTTATGAATATCCAGCTATATTTGCTAAAAAAAAGTAATCATGGGTCATTGTCACAAAGCAAATAATCATAGATGTGTGGGTCTGTGGGTCAGCTTCGTGCTCAGTTTGTCTAATTTTGGTGTAATACCATATTGTTTTAATTATTGTCACTTTCTGAAGTCTTGATACCTGATAAAGTCAATTCTTTAAGAGTATCATTCAATGTTTTTTCTAAGATT